TTGTGGCCGTAACAGGGGCCGATTTGTAAAAAAATGAATATTATTTTAATCAAATTCCATTTCAGATTCACTGCTTTCTTCAGAATCTAAGGAATCTTCAACTCCAATGTTAATTATTACCGGTTCCAGCATTGCATCAGTCATATTATCCAAATTACACATTTTATTTTCTTCCTTGTGAGCATAACAGCATTTTTCCAATTTTCTGGAGTTACTTTTGATAAGGAATGTTCTAATAATTGTTGTTAATTAATTAACTTGAGACCATATATTTTCTATCGGATTCAGATCACAGTGGTATGGGGGTAAACGTAAAATAATTACATCACGGTTTAATGCCATTTCATCAATTATATATTTTTTATAAACTGATAATTCCTTTTTGTCGAATTCTCCCTGTACTCAATTGCGTGTTTATCCAACCATTCGATTATCTCTCCTTTTTTCCATGCCGTTGTTGGCAATTTTCCTGCTAGTCTTGAATGGTAACTAGCATTATCCATGACCATGACAGAATTTTTTGCCTGACGGGAACTTTTTACATTTGTATCAACCCATAGATATGGTACAGTATGACCTTTATTCTAATAGTTCTTAGATAATCTCGTCTCCAACATACAATGTAATCTTTTTCAATTAAAACGGATTTTCTTCTATTCTTTTGCCAACGAAATCCAATGTCTCTCAATAGTCCCCATAATTTCTTGTTGCTTATGATTGGTAACTATTCGTTTTCTCTAAATAATATTTGGATTTTATCCAATGTTGGAAATTCTTTGTTAAAAAAAAATGAGTGGACGCTGCGTCTTATCATGTTTTTATGTATTTCTTCAATTTCCAAGGGTTTACTCCCTCCACTCTTCTTTAGAAATGAAACAGTTCCTCCTTTTCTTTCTTTTAGGAATCTATAAATTGTTGCTTCTCCATCCCCTGTCATATTTGAACACATGTTAACGATTTCACGAACATTATTTAAAGGGCGTTGATGTATAAGTGCATCGTGTACATTTATTATTATATTTTTCTCTCTTAGACTGAAGGCACCTTTAAAACTACACTTAACCGGGATAAAACCTGTTGTCGACGTCATTTTTAAATGCAAATAACAAAATATCGACACCAAAAACGTAGGTAGGTAAGATGAACAATGTACATCTACAAACTAAATGGAAGATGCAAACAATTTCTAATTTATATTATTGACATAAGCTGTAATGTGGCATAAAAACTACTTAAACTATCATTAGTGAAACCTTATCAGTAATTCCAGGTAATCGTTCAAAGAAGGTATTCTTTTTGTGTCAGGCGGTAACTTGTATAGAAAACAATAATCAACTTTAAATTACTGTTTACATTAATTTATTTCATGAAACATTGAATTCTCTCGTTAATTACCCGTGTATAATTAACAATAATCGTGTGGCATATATACCGACGTTTTTTACGCACAAAAAAGGTATAGTGAGATTAGTGGACACTTATTTTACAGAAGATTTTTTAAAAGATAATGAATTGTTGACGGCATCTTAAAATATTAATTTTTTTTATTTATTTCAAAACAAGTATAGGGTGACGCCTATGGTTTTTTGACCTGTTGAGGATTTGCATACATAATGTGCTATCAATATGATGGAAAAGGACTATATACTTCTTACGTTATGCTAATAAAAACATTATGTATGTTTCACGTTAATTTACTGGCTTATTAGGCGTACTTTCAAAGCACTATTATTGAATATGAAAAGAAACATAATTTTATAAATTATAACAAATTTTATCGTTCTAATTCAATACTATTCACATTCTTGTGAATAAAATCCATTTACCTAGAACTAGCGTATTTCAAATGTACGTCGCCCTTATGATTCGCGTTGTGGCCCGTAAATATCCACTTCAGTTCAGCTGCCTTCTCCCTCAACATATTTTAGTAGTTCTATTTATAAATAACTCATTTATATCGTTTAAACGACGTGAAAGAGCAATTGTCCATTCAAGGGTACCATATAGTCCAAGCAACGAAGATTCTTTACTTGTTATTTCTCAGGAACAGATCTGATTTTGATCAATTGTTTGTAAACACGAATTTAAAAGTACTATTTGATTATGATACATTTCGGTGTGTGCAGTAATATTATTCTATCCGAGACTGGTACGAAATTGGTCACATATGTACTCAGTTCTGATGTTACTACTATACCTACACCATTTTAGTGATATTTTTACCGGAATAATATAATACACTTCCGTCCTTTTCACATGATCCTGACTCTGGCCATCTCATTTCGCTGATTCCCAGCAGGTCTATTTTCATTTATTAAAAATAGACCTAGATTTATTGAATATATTTTTTTTTACTTTAATATTTATTTTTTTTTCAATCAAAATAATGGACCTATGTTTCAATAAATCCGAAATAGTTCAATAGAAACTCTATTAAATGATTAAAATAACTTTTTATTGTCAATTAAAAATTAGTTGTGTTCCGATTGTTAACACTCTTAAGGCCGTATGACACTATGCATTTTCTTTTCTTATATCGTATCTGTATCATTTCTTATATCGTTTCTGATATAACAAAAAAATAGATAGTGTCATACAGGCGTATAGTTTCTTATATCAGAAACGATACAAGAATTTGTGTCCGCTGCATTTTCTTGTACAAGAAATGCGCCAATTTGTGCGCAAAGCCGCTAAAACGTAAAACTTCTTTCATGTCATATTGGCGGATGGAGGCATAGAGAAATAAATTTTTATTTCTCTATGGCTGGAGGAGAACTTTGATATATACCAGAGATATGTAAGTATCTCTGATATATACATACAATTAGGCCAAGCAGACATCAGAGAAAAGTGCCCACCAACAATAACCAAGATTAGAACATCAGTAGCCATATTGAAAAACAATAAATCACAGTGATTGTTGATGTATCAAATAGCATCGGAACTACTGAAAGTAGGAGATGTTTTACTAAAAACAATACATAACCGCACTAAAAATTCGTGATGAGTTTTAAAGATTATTTTATATCTCCAAATAAGAGAGTAGAGTTTCAAGAGCATACCATTCAAACACATAATTTAAAAAAAAAAACAAACAAATTATTACAACCAAATTATTTATCATTTCTGTCTTCCATTACAACCTGTTGAATAACTTCAAAAATTTTGGTTTTCAATTTAGTTTTCATATTGGGACATTTTATTTCTTTCATTTTTGCACCACAGTATTTTTAAAAATAATCAGTAGCATATGTTCTCAGTCCCCAGTAGCTTGGGGTCCTCAGGCCCTTGTTCGGTGCCTCAGGTACTGCAGTTCTATTTTTATAGGTGTCAAAATTTCGACCAATCATGTGCCAAATCACATACAGTTTCTGGTAATAGAACTTGCATAGTGTCATACAGGGCAAAAATGTACGTACAAGAAACGATACAAGAAAACATAAATAACTTTCTATATCAGAAACGATATAAGAAATGATACAAGAAAATGCATAGTGTCATACGGCCTTAACGGAGAATACTTAAAATCACTCTCATTTTGACGGAATGCACGAACTCGTCCCAATTTCGCGATCGGGAGTTCATACCTGTTATTCTTTGTACCATGGTGCGTTTCTATGGAAATTGATGATCGGTCGATTTCAATGATTCAAATTCTGATCTCTCTCTACATGTTGCATTCTTTATTTTGTAATACTCATCGAGCAATAAGACAAAAGAGGGAATCTAATCCTTATGAAAAGGAGACCAAAAAAGTGGCCTCTGATGGCGGACATATCCGGAAATGCGAATGCGCGAAATTTAAATTTTCCGACACTTATCAACAGTAGCTATATAACTTTTTCAGAATGAGTCTTAGACGAGAAAGTTTTAATTAATTATTAATGATAAGAGTCTAAAATGCGACACAATTGTTAAAAAACTTTCAATATAAATAAGATTTCATGTGACATTTGGGACAAACAATAACATAACCCAACTAAATTTGATGTCAAACAAGGAGAGGGACTCTCTTTCCTTGTTTAATGTGGCCTCTAAAGATCGCACTTCCTGCCTAACAATATGTTTGCCCCCACTACCTTTACATTCCCTCTATTGTCTTTTTGCTCGATGGTAATACTTAAGTCATCAGATTCACCCAAAAATTATTCCTTTTTAAAACTCAATAATTATTATACAGAAAATATTTTTAAATTTACACTTTCTAGATTGAAGCAGGAGAGGTACTTTGTGGTACATAACATTATACAGTAGGATTCACATAAAACTGACAAGTCTGGGAAGGTCCGGTGATAGCTACATTTGACATTTTGACTTTTTAAGTTTGACATCATTACCCTAACGACGATATTGCTCACTCTACTAATAAATTTTCTAAATTTTTAAAAATATTTGTAAATACAAGTTGTAAATTCACTCGGGCCAGAGGCCCTCTTATTGGTAAGATATTCGCCCTCGGCACAGAATAATAAACAATCAGAATGCCCACTCTCCATGGAAAATTAAGTACGCGCATCTCGTTCGCGCAGACGTTCCGCCATGTTTTAAAGGGAACCAGTGTTGTTTATGTGGTGTGCATAGAAAAATTAACCCGGTTTAATTGACTTACGGCAATCATAGACATACTATACAATTATATTAACATTGTTAAATATAATAACATAAATATAATATAATTAAACATAAATATAAACAATTACATAACCTCACAAATCATATGTCTGTGTTATGTGTTTCCTTCTAAAACATGGCGCGCGTGCTGAAAAAGTTTCATTGATTCTAGAAATAACAAAAACAGGTTCTCCAACTTTAATCATTTTACTATAAAAAATTCGATTAATGCATTTTCCCACCAAATTCAAATCTATTTTTATATACTGAAAACAAACATGCTATACGATAGCTAACTAAACAAAAAATAAAACAAATTCTACTTCTATCGCTAGCACTTAACTAAAAGGTACACAACTAAAAAAAACACAACAAAAATTCATGCTTACCGATCTATCAGTAAGTGGAATCTCAGAACTAACAAGTTTATTAATAAAAGCTTGTTTTTTGTCTTCTAATATAACGTCGTTACTATCACTTTTACTAGTTAAATCGAGTGGTTCGACAAATGGCAGAGTCTAAAAAAAATTAAAACCAAAAAGAAAAATAGGAAAAAGCTAATATTAGCGTCAATGTTGCCAAACAGGCATCGTTACAGTTTAAAAAAGTTCAAACTAAACTAGTAAAGGCGTTTAAGCAGATTTTAGCTCACTATATCAATAAAAAAATTAATAAAGATCGGTATTTTTAGATTTTTACAAAAAATCATTTAATATGTTGCACTTTGTAATGTAATTTATGTAGACAAAGGGATTAAGAGCATTTAATACATTGATTCTACTAGTAATCAACTATTATTTACAAATTTACACACTACAGTTTCCAGAAAAACAACAGGGATATACTTATGGTATTTGTAGACTAACAGAAGGCTAATAACTTAGTACCGAGACAACAATCATAGCGAAAAATGCACAAATTTGAAACGCAGAAAGAATTACACTGGTCTGCTCATGCTCTAAATCCATCTCCTTTGACCGATTTTACTTCTACGTCTAGATTTTCTATAAATTTTTTTTTATTAATTTAACTTGGAAGTCATGCGGACCAGAAGGTATACCATATGAATTATTAAAACATAGCATTAAGGGAATTACTGGCGTATGTCTTCACCTTATTCTAAAATATATTAACAACATCTACAAAAAAGGAGATAGAAAGAATTGTTCAAACTACAGGGGGCTAAGTGTCATAAATTCACTCTCAAGACTGTATGGAAAAATAATAAAAAATAAAATTGAAAAAGAGATGACAGATGTAGAAGAACAGAATGGCTTTCGTGCAGACAGATCCTGCATGGACAGTATATTCTCTCTAAAGCAAGTTATCGAGAAAAGATTAGCCCACAACCTTTCAACTCATATAGTCATTATAGATCTGACAAAGGCATACGATAGTGTACCACTTTCAATGCTTTGGGTAGCAATGGAAAAACACGGAATAAGCAAAAAAAATATACAAGCAGTACAACAGCTCTACAAAAATATGACGGCAAACATTAAAACTGGAAATAGATTAACTAGAGAAACTCCTATTAGTAAGGGCCTAAAGCAAGGCTGCTGCATAGCACCTACACTATTCAAAATATATCTAAATGAGGCACTCTCATGATAGAAGTACGGAAATAAAACGGCATATTGAGATAGCTAGAAGTGCTTTTAATAAGATGAAAGCAATATTATGCAATGGAAAACTCAATATTGAAATTAGAACTAGAGTATTGAGATGCTACGTGTTCTCTGTCCTGTTGTATGGAGTTGAGGCCTGGAGAATTACAGAAGTGACAGAGAAAAGACTCATTAACTTTGAAATGTCTTGTTATCGAAGAATGTGGAAAATATCTTGGACACAGCACATAACAAATGCGGAAACGCTTCGAAGAATAAAAAAGATAAAGAAATACTCAACACTATAAAGAAAAGAAAAATGAGCTACTTTGGTCACATACTAAGAAACGAGAAATACGAATTGATGCGCTTGGTCATACAAGGGAAGGTGGAAGGCAAAAGAGGACCGAGGAGACCAGATGCACGTCCTGGTTGAAGAATCTGAAACAATAAAGTGGGAAAACGTCAATATAACTTTTCAGAACGGCTGCAAATAGAGTCAAATGGGCCATGATTATCGCCAATGTCCTTAGAGATGAGGCACGTTAAGGAGAAGACTTCCAATACCTCTAAAAAATAACGTGAAGATGGATGGAAACAATATTTCTGGCCTTCATACTCAATCGAGGTTTCTTTCTGAATATACTCATGTCCTCATATTTACACTTTGTACACCTCATGTACACTTTATCCTATTCAAAAGAACCTTAGTTCCTAAAGCAATCCGATTGAGTCACATTCGAGTTCAAGTTTTAAGGCTATCGAAATCTAAGAATTAATTACTTGGATCAAGATTAAAACAATGGAATTTGTTAGACAAAAATACAAGAATCTCATGATTTCAAACAAGGCAAGAACATTTTACAAGTTACTTTTTCGAAAGAGGATGATTTGGTGTATTTTAATGATGTTGCAGGGCTTTTTCAAGAACTGCATTTCCCAGAAGAATTTGAATAATGGAGACTTTTTATTAATGTTTTTATTCTTACTTCACAATGGTAATAAATATCATTCAATACATTGGAAGAGACTACAATGGGAAATGGCCAGCAGTAATGTTGTTAATCGATTGTCTGTTGGTCGGCTGTTGGTGGATTTACCAAAAAACTAACCTTGAAGCAATGAAAAGAAAGAAAACTACACAATAACTTGGATTTTATCACCATAATGAGATAGATTTAATGACTTTCACGACCTTTATCTTAAAAAATAGTATTTTTTACTGTAAAATATAAAAATAGTTCTTTATACCTTTTTTTTAGTTGACACTCTAAATATCTGATACTAATAATATCGTTTTTTGATTAAATGAACAGTATATGGAAAGTATACAGATTTGGAAAAAAAATTACGGAACATAGGATTTTTAATACAGCTCAGATCCTTTGATGTGCAATTAACCAGTGTAAATTTCAATACAACGTCGCGATGTTTTATAATTAATTCATTTGTTCGACTGGAGTCTCAATTCACGCCGCGATACTGCCAGTGTAAGTGTAAAAACGGAACACATCTAAATTGCATGTAAATTCAAGGAAAACGTACTTATTTATAAATGTAGATATGAAAATATTTTATAACTAAAAAAAAATGGTTGTTTTATTGCCAAAACGGCTTGAAAAAAATTAGATTTCTAAAACTAAAAATAAAAAGGAATTTTAAAAATAAAATAATTATAATACACTCTTTTTAATTTGAAATTATAAACAATATTTGGAATAATAAATGTATTTAATTATAAATTTTATAACTCAAATAATACCTAATGAACACAAACAAAATTGATAAAACATTATTTATTATTTCCACAAAACCGGACTTTCAGGAAAAATCGGTACACGGAGCAACACTCTCGGCGTGCCACATACGCTACTACAAACCGCTGCGCTGAGGAGAAGTAATCCAGTGGAACAAATAAATTAGTTACAAAACATCGCGACGTTATAAAGAAATTTAGACTGGTTAATTGCAACGCAGAGAATCTTATTTACTGTATTAAAAATCCTATGTTACGGATTTAAAATTCCAAATGTATATGTGCTGTATTTATTCCCATAGTTTCGCGTTTAGAGCACAAGAAATAACGTTATTATGCATGAAAACAAAAAGGGAGAATTTTTTTTGCAAACCAGTGTTTTTAGGGACAAAAATCTATACAAAGAAAATGAATGTTCATTTAAATAGGAACAAGAATCATGGGGAACTTCAACATAAGGTGTTTTACAGGGATGTTTCACATCTCCATTTTAAATTATATTTGGATTATATACTAAAAAAATGCAAAGGAATAGGAATACCAATTAGAAACGAAGATTTATAGTTAAAGGGTATAAATCTACGCGTAACACTGAGCAAAAATAATAAAAAAACGTTTTACGAAATACCAGCTTAAGCTTACTCTCAGTTTGTATTATTATTTATAGAGTGTAAAAATGAACTATTTATTAAATGATAGGTTTACAACATAACCTAAAAAACTTGAGGCATCACATCACAGTATCTAATGTGCTATTAAAATATTCCCATGTTAGAATTACAGCAAAAAAGTAAAATACGGCTTTTGAAAATCCGAAACAGCGTAGTTAGCATACAAAACAAACGAAAAATCTGCATTAAACAGCCTTCTTATAACTATACACTACAACTGTATCAAATAAAGGCTGAATCTCAAAAAAAAAGAAATCGCAAACGTTGCAGATTCTTTCTTACTTCGTTTTCGTTTTGTACTAAGACACAATTGGAATTTAACTGAACATTTTCTTTATCTTCTTCCAGTGATTGTTCGCAGTTATTGTTCCATGTACCATCGTTATCACATTTTTCCTGCAACAAAAATGTTATTTGAAGTATAAAGTTGTTACAAAAGTAACTAAACGTTCTGTACCGCTTTTTATTCCCTACCAATTTTTATTACATACTTTATACCAACTCAATATAAAAAATACTGCCATTAATAAAGTATTTAACCCCTTTTGTGACTAGATTATTTAAAAAATTTACTAATATGAAAATTTATAAATATAATGTATTAGATAAAGGACAAGTGTTTTCAAAAGTAAAAGACAAGACTCCAACTAATAAACTAAAATAAAAATCAAAACTTTTCCTTCCTTAATAATATATTACATATCAAAAATAATATTTTAGCCTTCTTTCTTCGTTTGCCGTTCCGCTTCTGCTTTTGCGCCGTCTTCCTAAAGTACTAATTCTTCCTATCCTTGAACATCTTTTTTGTGTAGCTACTATTTTTTGGTACCGAATCTACTTCCCTGATTGGTCGTCTTCAACAACCACCTGGCAAGACCCTGGTGGTCATTGGATTACATGGTTAATCAGTCGGTGTTTTTCTCTGTACATCCTCTGTATTTGATTTCGATTGAGGATGTCTCTGGTCTGAAGGAGTCTTCTGATTATGGCTTGGTAGAAGAAGTACCTTGTTTTGTTCTCAGCCACCTCTCTCGGTCGTACGTATTGTCAAAAGGAAAAGACAAGACTCATACTCTTTATAAAAGCAATGTTGTCTATACGTTACCTTGTTGATTGTAAGATTTGTTATGTCGGTCAAACTTCACATGGCTCAAACAAATAATAACATAGCAACAAAAGTGACTGTACAAAAAAGAAAAATACGTGAGCGGCAGTTGAGCATCATTTAAAAACTGTGCACAATTCTGACTATTCAAATGTTAGGTTAGGTTAAAGTTTTACAACAAGCAAGTAATTATATAAAAAAGATTGTTTATGGAAATGGGTTATATTAATAAAGAAAAAAATCAATAAATTACAAAGCAGACAGAGGACAGTTAACACGTTCGCTGCCAGACATATTTTTTTAACATTTGTCCCTCACGCCGAACATACATTTTACATTGAGCTTTAATAGGGGCAATATAAAAATAACATGGGTCGCATCGGGACAGCGCGGCAGTGAGGTAAGTTAGTACTGTCGTGCGCCGTTGGTGTCGTACCACATAACATAACCTATATATTATAATATGTCAATAATCAGTTTCTAAAGTTGCTTTATGCTTTTATTGTATTATTTAAATTAGAATAATAGCCGTAAGTATTTTATTATAGTTCAATAGATAGATATTATTTTAATTATGTGTATTTTTAGATGTCTAAACTTAAGACAGCTTTGTCTCAAATTGAACCACGGCACGTTTTTCAGCGCCCCATCAAGCCCTCGTCTTCAGTAAGTACATGACAGACTACACGGGAGAAATTTTTGAATTATACATTCGTCATTATGTTAAACAGACTCGGAAAAAAGGAAAACATTCTAAAATAACGTCCAAATTACAGTCAACCAACATACAAATACAACCAAACTGTAATCAAAAAGTAATCAAAATAAACGATTTATGTAATTGGCCATTACTTAATGGAAATTCCGTTCAATAATATAACAAAACAAAATAAAAAATGGTTTTTTAATATCCACAGAACATAGTGAACTTGACATAAGGTAAGTGAGCCAAATATTGCCACCTTAACGTTTGGTTCTAAATAAATCCTACACTTTTATTAATAAATGAAAACAAATTTGGGTAGTAGGTAGTAAAGAAATGTATTTTCTTTAATAATACATTTTAATTATTTAAAACAACTAAACAAAAACTAAATATAGAATACTTTTTTATTGACGTTGCGAATGGTAATATTGGGATTACAGGTCTCCTATTATTGTCACCCATGTCAATAATAGGCACTGCAGAACTACGGTTAAAAGTAACACATTTTTCTGAAAAAATAAAGGCAATTAAGTAGTGTAAACGTAACAAACATTTCTGAAAAAGATAACTTACAAACATTGAGGGAAGGTAAACTTTTCTTTGACATCTTTAATCAGTCCTACATAGACCTCGTGAACATAACGATGACACATTATGCACAAGCGCATATCTCCTTTACTGCAGATGATACAAAGAAAACAATACTACAATACAATTTTTTTGTCGTACTGCTCATTGCTTTTTTGACAACTTTTGTTAGTTTATTTAATTTTGATATTGGTGCGAACAAATATTTGGTAGATTGCTGGGCTTTACTGTTTAAAGCTGGCTTTTTCTTCATAGTGGGTAATTTAATGTCCGGTGTAATCAGCAGTCCTGTATTTTTAAAAGAACTGTTTAAGCATTTGGAGTCGGGAGCTAGTTGATTGTCATCGTTGTTGTTGAGAGTCATCGTGAAGACTAAAATCTGATAATTATTGGCTACTTGAAACAGTAATTAAACGCTTATTCTTTTTGTTATTAGTTTTCTCTGGCATTTGATATCCGCTTGTACTCGCCTCGATTTTACCCTCGATGCGGGTTCAATCGACTTGCTAGAACTTTTAACGACATCTGATAAATCTTAGGAAATACTGTGGTTTACTCCATCTTCTTCTCCCTATTTGATTAAACTTGGTACAAAGGCAGCTTCAGGTATAGCGTCTGGTCTAAAGGAATAAATGCCGGTGGCTGCAAAACGGGAGATAATGTTTGATGGTGTCATTGCTTTTAGCCAAACTGGAGTAAAAATTTCTCCAAACCACATTTTGGTAATCGCCTTGTCAGGGTTTGTTGTTAAAAACTGTAGTACTTTGTGATGTCTCAAAGCTTTTAAACACTGATTCGTCCATAGATTGAGGATCAATGAAGAGAAATGGTAAAGCCACAAAACAAATGTTTTGCATGTCATACTACCTTTATATGTGACAATAACTTTTAAGTAAGGGTGCAAGTGATCAGACCATTAAAACGTGGTACAGGTTGACCTAGAACATTTCCGCAATCTTCAATTGACACGTTTTCTCCGTGCTAGGGTGCGGTTAAATGTGCCTATTTCGCTCCCCTTTTAGCAAATACAATTTCTTGCTTATGGATTGTCAATCTGCATCCTTTTTCGTCCTTATTTTATATGCTACCAGGTTTGTTAAATAGGTTTAGTTTTTCTATGGTATCTCTCTATTTAGTAAAGAAGAATTTATTATAGAGGGTGGTAATATTAGGAACAGTGGCAATATTTAGCGCACCTAACTTATTTCGCTGAAGTATCTGCTTCTCCAGAAGAATTATTTAGAAGAAAAATTATAATTCTTCTGAAGAGACTGATCATGTTGGTCCCATCAGCGAAATATGTCAAGTCGACTATATTCTATCAAAATTAAAAACAGTGTTTTATTTTATGATAATGTTCGAGAGGTGGTACACATTTTTGGGTAGGTATTTGAGACATTCTGAAAATTTTTCAGATTCTTCTTCCCTAATATACTAATCCAGAAACACAGATCTGGCTGGAGGGTATCCTGGTCATTTAACAACCCTATCTGATCCATCTACTTTGCCTCCGTGCAAAGCTGAATTGGGACAACACAGTATTTTACGTGTCTTTGGCGAAACTCATATTTGCGATTACCCAGTTCTTTATTACCTAACGGAAAAGGATGGACATTAAATATGTGCAAATTCTATTTTCATTGGTTGGAGGGAGATTGTTTGCCGCAATCATTTATGATCGTTCATGAGAGAAGCAAAAATAATTTGGGAAATATTGCTGAAGGTAAGCTTACATGTTCTTTTTATAATTGCAGTCTTCTTTTTTTAATTAATTCAATAAACCCATATAACTATTTAAAGATCTAACAGAGGATTATAAATCTCTACGAAGAGGAAGAAGAAAATGAGTATTTTAGCTCAGATGAAGAGTTTGAAGAAGAAATGTAAAATTGGGGCAAAGAATTAATTTAATTATCTTTTTCTACTGTCTTACTAGTAAATTGTATATTACCTACTATTTGGATGCTAAGTAAATACGTCAAAACAGATACTGACACGTAATGACTAGCACGTAATAAAAAAAATTACGATTCAGTTCTATAAAAATGTGTAATATCACATAAGCCTTGTAAGTCAGTTGGTCGAGTTACCATGGAAACGAATTAACAGACGTTATTTTGACAGATTAAAAATTATTAATCTGTCAGTGTCAATATAGTGGTAATTTAATTTTTATTTTTATAAACGAAAATAATCGTAGAAAAAGTATAGTACACAACTTGAGTTGTAAGCTTATTACATGCTTGTAAAATCACTGCGCTCGCCGCTACGCGGCTCGCGCGCAACTTTTTTACTCGCATGTAATAAGCTTCTTACAACTCTCGTTATGTAATATACTATTTTCTACTCTCTTACTAGTAAATTGTATATTACCTACTATTTCGATGCTAAGTAAATACGTCAAAACAGATACTGACACGTAATGACTACCACGTAATAAAAAAAATTACAATTCAGTTCTATAAAAATGTGTAATATCACATAAGCCTCGTAAGTCAGTTGGTCGAGTTACCATGGAAACGAATTAACAGACGTTATTTTGACAGATTAAAAACTATTAAGGTTATTGCAATTATTGAAATATGTGGAGCTTATAGGAAACAAGAGTTAAAAAATCTTAAAATTTGTGACATTGATGATTTAAGTACCATGTTATTGGTTAAAATTCCTGATAAACCAAAAACCAAACCAAAAAATGTATATCTTTCGTTATTTCCGGAAATTTGTATAAAATCTGCAAACAATATATAGAAATTCGACTACAGATTAGCGATCCGCAAATAAATTAATTTTTTCTTAATTATCAAAGACGTAAATGTACGAAACAGGTGGTATGATTAAACAAAATAGGCGGTGTTACTAAACAAATAGCCGAATATTTAAAGTTACCAGATCCCAAAATGTACACAGGTCACTGTTTAAGACGAACTTCTGCCACAATTTTGGTAGATGCCGGTGGTGATTTAATGGCTCTTAAACGACATGGCGGATGGAAAT